CAACTAGATGATCTACATCCGTCATACATATATTTCTATATACATAATCTCACTACAATACCATTTTAAGTAACTACTTTAGAACAATTTTATTTTCGGGATAAACCTACTAGAGCCTTCCATTTTCCTCACTATTAATAGCTAATCTAGTTTTAATGCCCTTATAAGGTTCACATAGCTATCGCAACCAGAACCCCGGTCTGTAAGCCATACTAGGCTTCTGCTACCTCCTTATTCAGGTCTTGCTAAGCAGGTTTTCATCTTCATTGGTTCTATAGATTTACACAAACACAAGGACTTATCGTGGGTTTGCACTGCCTATACCAGCTTGCATTCCTTTGTACAACTCTTCCATTATACAAATACCATGTGATCTTCCAAATCTTGACTCGGTTCCTAGTAAACCTTTCGAAATAAGCTATCCCGGGTCAGGCACAAACCCAATTTTGGGTAGTGATTATCCCAGCCACTATTTGGTCTGACTATAGTTACAGGATCGGATATCCCAACCTTAAGAAGACAGTTACTGTAATACAAATAGAAATTTGAATTTTCGTCACCAGTAGGGTTCGAACTCTTGACTTGCTGCTTGAGGGTGACAACTTGACCACTTCACTAAGTCGCCACACCCTCACTATCACATTTTTTTAATAACCACTAATATAATGTTTATATAAAATTTTCCTCAATAAAGTCACATTTTTTTATCATAGTAATGCCATAAGCATGATTTCGAATTTTGGCCTAAATTATGTTTAACTTAGACCAACATTTGAAATCATGACGGCCCCCAAAAGTACAGCAATGTAAGATTAGTTAATACTACTAATTAATACTGCAAGTGGTGATTCTGGCTGATCAAAATTTTTTGGCTGACTAAGCTGATAAATTTACTAGCTTAGCCAGATTAGCCAATTTTAAAATTACACCATTAAATGTCTCAACCTTGCTTATATTTTAGGTTTAATAATATTTATGAAATTCTATTCATTCAGGCACATGTTTGGAATTGCGCAAAAATTAAAAAAATTCAAATTATTATTTATTACGTGATATATATGTTAACAATATGCAATTATTAAACTGAACTCCAAAATAGTAAAACTAATATAATAATCACGTCAAACCCACCTTCCCAACTTAGAACCTCTTTTTACTGCCAAAATTTACCTCTTTTTCATCTTATAAATATACTTAAAGTCAAATAGTTTGACTCACGTTAAATGTCTATCATAATGACATTATTTAAATTTAGAATAGTGTAAAAATCGCCCTGTTTTTTTTATCGGTTGAGTTGTCAGGACATCATAATTTGTTATTATTATATCTATGCGATTCTGATGTTAAATTTGCAAATGCTTATATTAATTAAGCGAATAAAGTGGTGATTTAGTCAAATCTTTTAATATGAATAAATCATAAATATTAAAGTTCACGTACTTAAATTAATGCGAATAAGATAAATAGCAAATATGAAATTAAAATCGGCAGCATTATAGCTAAGGCCGTTTAAAGTTAATTATTAGTTTAACGTCATCTCTCTCCCCTCAGATTGCTACCTCCAAAAAATAAACACCAATCAAATTTCAGTATTTTTGTATCTTTTTTTTTTTTTTTTTTCTATCTTAAAAATACAAATTACAAAGTTAACCTGAAGATTTTATAATAATTTTTTCTAAATTAACTCTGGGTGAGTTATAAATACATAGTCACAAAAGGTATTAGAGCTGGGGATAAGTGTTGCAGGATATGTACATAATTTATTAATCATGATTACGATAATCATCATGATGCAGACTTATTTATTGTGACAATGATCATCATAATGACATACTTTCTGCATAATTCGTAGTCTATTTTGAACTAATATACATCGATCTTGAAAATCATGTACTGGCAAGGAAGTCAATGTTAAGTGTTGAAAAGGCAAAGCATATCAGAAAATCAGGTGAATAAACCTTTGAGTGAATTTAAGGCATCAGTATGAATCCTGAATAGAGCAAAATAATTACAATAAAGTACTTATCTTGGACGCTATAGTTTTAAGCTTTAAAACTTTCTAAAATACTTGCAATTATGGATATAACAAAAAATTGGTTGGTTACAACAATTATACACAGGTTAGAGGCGTATAAAAAAAAAAAAAAGATTCTATGAAAGCCAAAATTGATTAATTCATTCAAATTAGGCTATCATTTTTTTTTAAAATTGTATATATATTTTCATATATATATACGTCCTAAAAATTTTTGAATGTTTATTCATAACGATAATGTTGTACTTATTTGTAACTGTTAAGCGTGAGTCTCAAATTCTCTCTACAATATTATCAGATGTCTTATTTGAAATAAATGACTATCTTATATTTCAAGATCTTTTACAACAAGCTGATATTGAATATAAAAGTGATGAGGTAGTAAAAGTTGAAGTTCGTTGTGTGGGAAATAAGCAGTACAATACGGTTGCATCTGGAGTTAAGAGTAGTTTAGTGTTATGTCGAAAGGATGAAAGAAATATATCACATGTATGATTTACAATTAAAGATGGACCTGTTCAATCAAGTAACTCAAACAATTATACAAATGCATTTAATATTATGATGGAGCATTCAATGCAGCATTCTCTTCCTCCTCCAAAACCTGGTAATACTAAACAAGATAAATTATATAATGATATACTAAATATATTACGACAAAAAAATTGTGGATGGTTAAATGGAAAAGAAATTACAATAGAAAAGCAATTTTTAGAAAGTCTTAATGCTCTGCTTTGGGAGCTTGATGAACATCATCAGAAACTACAAGCTTGGGTTTGTCAAATTCCTGTATTTGTTTTATCCTTGCATGGATATCAGGACAATCAATATTATAAGAAAGAATCTTATCATAAAAAAGGAATTTTGCAACGTTCTAAATTAGAATTGTTAGTAAAAGCTATTGAAAATTGTGTATCTCAACCTTGGGCAACAAGTGAATCATGGAATACTTTATAAATGAAGTTTTTACTTTAATTTCATGTATTCAAAAATATATGAATTATTTAGAAAATGTTAACAAAAGTGTTAATTCAATTCATAATGCTATGCAACCTGCACATAACCCATTAGATGATAAAATTTCACAAAGACTAGTACAGTCATATCCCTCTATAGTCACCCCCTCTATAGTCACAAAATCAACATAATCACATTTATATTTTTACCAACTTTTTTTATAATGTTTTTACCTCTATATAGGCACAATCGCCTTATAGTCACTATCACATTTTTTTTTTTTTTTTTTTTTTTAGTATTAAGGTGACCCCTTCGGTCAAGTACTTTTTATTATTGTATGGACTATTTTTACAACTAGAT